ATTTCATTGGCAGAAAACATTTACATTTTGTGGAGGCCGTCGTCACTTGTGGTGTATGGTCTGCACCCGACGCTCTTCTCGTTTTTTGAAAGGGAGGTATCGTATAACTTCGAGCCTAGCACTTTGATCTCATGGACTACGTAGAGACGACTCGCTCAAAACAATGTCAAATTGTGTTATTCCACACCGATTCCAGAAGCAGCTTAGTGCAATTTTAGGTTATGACTTTAACCTTTGCACGCCAGCAGTAGGAAAACAGTGTGAGTAACCAGTCATGCACCAGTTGATTGCTATATCAGGCCAAGTGAAGCACCGGTTACTAACCAAATGTTCTTAGAATTCAATATCACAAGGCAGCATCGAGAAGACTTTGGTAACAAAAACCGCATTGGAGAATTCAACGGACAATTCTTATTGTACAAAAAAGACTAAGTATCAACAAATCATTACTATTTTAACCACACAAGACCAAACAAGTGAAATAATGGGAACTAGGAGAGCGAGCAGCTTGAGTTGCGCTACAAGACCGAATCTTTCAGCCAGATTCCAGGGGAGAAAAAGAGACAAGGCGGACAAGATTGCGATGTTAAGATGCGCATTCGAGCGCGTCAAAGCGTCAAATCAGCGCCAGGGCGCTGTCCATAACTGGTAGTCGATGAAGCCATCGATGTATAAACGTGGTTCCGGCGTCGTCGCGGCGGTAACGCTTGAATGAAACGCAGCGACGCGCGTGTGTGTAACGTAAGGCAGCAGCAGCGCGCGGAAAAAACCCGTGATCGGGGCGTGGCCGGGCTGCCGGCAAACCGGCCACGGGCGCGGCAGCCAGCTGCCGGTCTGGTTGTGGAGCCACATTCACTAAATATTCGCTGATAACTACTATGAACTTGGCCTAGATTCTTCATGAGCGCGCCGTGTTCAGGATTGGTGCGGGAGGAAAAACTCGATTGTTGAATTGGACGCAACGACAACGATGATGACGACGACGAACGCTAATGTTTAGGCAGTTAAGCGTGGCGTTAGTGTCCGTACCGACCAGTTGTTGCTGGTTAGTAACATGCAACGAGCGCCACAAAAAACCGACTGAATAGACTAGACGGTAAAGTTTCAATAGATCACCCTCTATACAATGCTTTCTTCCAGCATCAGCCATAAACTGCTGCCAATTATGCCTTCCAGCTACAAAACCTCGACGACCTACAGTATACCTCATTTCCTCAGAAAACTTAACGGTAGCGGCTAAGGAAAAGCCGTAAGATTTTTGAATTTGCTCGATTTCAAGCCTTTATGAACCCTAAAAGGGGTGACCCCTGAAAAATATGCCGCTTCGTGGCTATTTTGGCTCAAGGGCTAAAAAGGTTAGTTTAGTTTTGTGAGCCCTTGGAACGTTCGGTCGTAGGCCAACCGTCCCCAACCCAACGAAAAATAAGACTTCATTGGCCTGACAAATACATTATTCCGATTTCCGATTTCCGCTTACACAACCTTATAGTTTTTCGCATCCCGAAGCATCAAAAATACCTTTTTTGCCTGCACGGTTATGACGCGCCCTAATTTCCTGTTGTCTGATAGGCAATTTCCGATTTCCGGTCATTTTGAACTGACTTTTGGTTATTTCTATTGAAAAGTATTCAACCGAAGGTTGGTACATATCTTTTTGGGAGATGCGATGAACTCACTCTTCATAAAGCCTCCCGCGGATTGGAACCACGAAGAAAAAATGCAAACTGATCGTGCGCGCGTAAAATCAATATCCATTCCAAAGTAGATGCGTTAGAAGGATGAGAAAAACTCTGGGTACTAGGTTTTTTTCTAAGCTGCGAAACGTTTCGTCTTCGCCATTATCGCAGGGAGTTTGAAATTGCAATCACTTCAAAGTTAAATACTTTACAGAACAGATAGAAACTATGGCACCAGCAAAGACAAGCACAACAGCAAAAAGAGCACCCGGTGTTGACCGGTACCTTTCAGGACGCGCCACGCGTTCTATTCCGATTCGGAGTATTAGCGGACGACTTGGAGACACAAAGACTAGTGAGAGTTAGTTAGTATTGAAGTCAGTAGTGTTTTTGTATTATGGGACCGCCGAGGGGTAGAATATGCTTTTGGACTGACCGAGCTTCAATCTGGTACCTAGCGCGATCTCCGCGCGGGCAGTGCCGCCCATTGTGACTGCACCACCTCCACCAACTCCACCCAGCTTGCTTTGTTTGATAGCAGAAAATCGGCTAGTATGGATTGGGTCAGTTAAAACGAGGGTTAGAGCATCCTAGTCGCGCCTGCCCGGTCCGTAGATCCATATCGCTCGGTCAATTTACCACTCCTGATCTATTCGAGGTCAATGGATGGAATTTTTGTCAAATCAAAGGTCAAAGGTAAAACTTGCCCAAACATCGGTTTTCTCATCAAGCTTTTGCAAGTGCCTTATGACGGTTGAATCGCTCCACGAGTCTAAATAGAAGTCAAGTGCGTGGCGTAGCTAGAAGACTGTAACTGAAGTCAATTCGTAAGCAGTTTTCAATGACTATAGAGAATGGGTAGACATGTCGAGAAAAGCACTCGTATCTCGTAACTTTCATCCATTTACTAATTTCTTCTCCATCACAAATCGCAGCTTATACGGCTTCGATTTGAAAAAAGACAGGGGATTATAAGTAGGCTCTTGGATTTGTTCGATGAGTCACTATGGGCGATCTTTACCTTTCTCCAATCAGGTAAGGAAGATATGGTAGGTTTGGGTCTTGGTACATTCATCGAGTTTTTC